GTCTTCCTCCTTCCTCTCTTACCCTCCCTATCTTTTTAAATTTTATTCAGATCTGCAATAGACACCTAGTAAAAAGTGGGATAGACTGGGTATAGTGATACATGCTTGTATTCCCAGCTACTGTCGAGACTGAGGCAGGAGGATGGCAAATTTGAGGCCAGACTAGGCAATTTAGTGAGACCCAGTCTCAAAATAAAAATAAGGGCAGGCAAGGGATGTAGCTCAGTGATAGAGTGCCCCTGGGTTAAATACCCACTACTACCAAAAAAAAAAAAAGGAAGATGATAAAAATTCAATTTCAATTTGTTCTTACTGACAGGTTCTCTTCAAGTTGTCTATGCTAATTTTACATCATAAATGTATTAATTTCTACTTCTCTAAATAATCACTAAATAATAATCATTTTTATAGGTTGAGAATTGTGTACTCTTCCAGCTGTTTTGAAATATACTATAGATTATTTTAAGCCATAGTTACCCTAAGGTGCTAACATTCCTCCCTTTCTTGCGTTGGTGCCCCTTATTGAACTTCTTTCCATATCCTCCCAGTCTCTATTGATTACTATTACATTCTGTTCTTCTACAAGATTAACTTACTAGTTTCCACAAATGAGTAAAAACATGTAATATTTGTCTTTTTGTGTCTGGCTTAAGAATAGTTTTCTTTAATACTGAAATACAATTATTTCTACTTTCAGGGAATTATTTACATTTTGCCATGTAGAATAATGGTTTTATTGTTGTTTTCCTTTAGCTCATCTTATTGTATTTTCACCACTTTTTTGAATCAACATAAATCAAATCTGAGTACCCAAATGTATCTTTCTTTACCTCTACATAGTAATTGGCACATGTAGACATTTACACAGTCATAATTACTTCCTTCTGAGGGGTTAGCATCTTGTTTCACTGTGGTCTCTCTATTCACAGTTGCAGACGAGACAATTTATTTCTGTTCAGTCCCTTCAGTTTTACATGTGATCTGTCAAAGAAATAAATTTACTGAAGGTAGTGAATTCACATTTTACTGAAGGCAAACAGTTGAGATGAGAACATGTTTGAGAACATATTAACTTCCTCTGAGATGCCAGAGATACTTGGAAAAGCTACAAGAAACAACTTTTATTTAGACATGGCTTAACTTGAATTCCTTAGCTTAAAATATCTCCTGGGAGAAGCCCTGTAAATAATAAATGTGCCTAAGAAAAGAGCCTGGCCTAATTTTCATATTATTTCTTCATAACTGAAATAAACATATACACTGTTGAAATTGTAATCAAAAGATACCTTCCTGCCTGCCTTTGTGTGCTTATCTCCTCTCACCTTATATCCTTGTAACTCAAATAAAATAAATATATGTTGTGTTTCACTCAGGATCAGTCATTTAAAAAATAAAATTATTGAACAAGACACATCAGAATTTATCTTGGGTTATGCTTTTTTTTCATTTTTTCTAAATATCTTCATCCATAACATTTTTGGGGAGGATTACCAGGAATTGAACTCAGCAGCACTCAGTCAGCCAGCCACATCTTCAGCACTATTTTGTATTTTATTTAGAGACAGGGCCTCACTGAGTTGCTTAGTGCCTTGCCATTGCTGAGGCTGGCTTTGAACTTGCAATCCTCCTTCCTCAGCCTCCCAAACTGCTGGTAGGCGTGTGCCACTGTACCAGCTTCATGCATACTTTTGAAACTTGGAAAATTGTGAAACATGAGACACATGGAATATAAATGATCAACTTTTCAACATATGAAAAGAGCTAAATTCATCCAGTGAGATGGTACAGAGATGCAGCTGAAAAAAAAAATCGTTCAAAAGTAAAATTGATCTAATTATTGCAGTTATCTGTTTATTTACTCAAGAAATGCAGTTATTTAAAGGGCATTCAAAAATGCAGTCAGTTTTGATCATTTTAAATTTTGACTGTGCTATCATGAAGTTCTTACTAAGAAGTTCTATAATATTACCAATTTGAGACACATTAATAGGGCCTAAGTGATGAGAAATGCAATGATTTGGCTTTCTCGGTTCATTGTATTGTGTAATCTCTAGCTCAGATACATTGTTTTTAACCTCTTTTACACAGATACTTTTGGAAAAAACAAAAGACACATTGACAAGATATTTGAGCGGTTCAATCACCTCTATCATTGTTCTTAGTAGGACACAGAGAAGCACCATCAATCAATGGCCTTGGAGCTCCATGTAGCTGAAGAGGGTATATTTCAGTTCCTTTGGTCTTCTGCATTACAGAAAGTAAAACTTCTCCTTCACTCTTTCTTGTTAGTTATGGAGAGCAGTGATTTGGATCATGGTCTCTGCCTCGTGGTTGTGGTACACTTGCATTGGGAACTTCTTGGGCAAGCAAGGTGCAGGTCAAGATTGCCCAGTTGCTATGGACAGCCTGCCTGATAAGGCTCTGGGCAAAAACACAGAGCTATATCAGTCTTGACTTTGAGCTCAGGCACCAATTCCAAGGAAAAGAGAATTCTGAGCTTGACAAGATAACCACAATGTCTGACCAGTGATCTGACCTCCAACCCTGCCCTCTTACTAGGAACTCTGGACAATGGGATTCCTGAGCACAACAGGATGCTCCTGACATTGCAACAGTAGAATAGCTACAAAAATATTTTTGGTCCTGTAACTTTTTAGTGCACAAAGAACATTAACTTCCTGATTATGAAACCCTATATAATAAATGTGCTGTGCTAACTGTGGGTCACTGCTTCTCCATCACAGATCAATGTATCACCTGATCCCAGCTTTCTCTTTAAATATTTATGTGTCTTTCTTAATTCCCCGTTGCCCCTTGCCAGTTTCTAGGGTTTGGCTGTGCAGGTCACAGCAGTTGGTCTCATTGAGTCAGTAGGTAAATGTGACTTAAGCTGAAGAGTATTGACTATAGGATCCATACTACTTCCCTTTATCATTAATCCATTCTTATAAATGCAAATGACTGGGCTGATTTTCTTGTTGGCAGAAACTAGTATAAGGAGTACAAATTTGTACTTTGCAAATACACTTATCCCCTGCATTTGTTTCATTTCAGTGGTGGACGGTATCTGAACATTAAGAATGTAATGAGGGAAATTTGTCTCCTGCCCAATATCCTGTGTGTGATCCTTTATGTCCCGCCATAGGAAATTACAAAGACTTTGCCTAGCAAGCCTCATGGAGAAAGCTGTTTTCCTACACCACATACTGCACACAGCCAGTGCCTTAAAGTGTCTGCAGGGAGTTGCAGGCAAGGAATCAATCCCCAGCTCTCAGGTAGTCATGCTCTTGGCATATGTGGTCCAGGAACTTTCTTTTAGAGGCCTCTTTATTGAGATCCTCAGCTAAGACAATTTTCAATCATCTCTGCTGAGTCTATTTTATAGAATATCTTGACTATAAAAATTCTTCTCTCTTCTGACTCAATACATTTCCATTCCTAATCCTTCCCTGTATACCCTCATTACTCCTCCTAATCCACAAAAGGGCAGGAGCCCTCTGTAGTGAGGCTTTCCTTCACATGCACCACATGTCTCAGGTGACATGTAGTATAATTTAGCCTTGCTAAAGTATTGTTCCAGGTGGGAAAAGGAACGGCACTGTGTTAGTCAACTTTTCATCCTTGTAGTCAAAATACCTAATAAGAACAACTTAGAGGAGGAATAGTTTATTTCAGGTTCATGATTTCAGGAATTCAGTCTATGGTCAGCCAACTCCATTGCTTCAGGTCCAACGTTAGGCCGAGCATCACGGTGGGAATCTGTGACAGAAGAAAGCTTCTTAGTTCATGGTAGCTGGGAAAGAGAGAGAGAGAGAGAGAGAGAGAGAGAGAGAGAGAGAGAGAGAGAATCTCTAGTGACAAAATATATTCCTCAATATATACACTTAGTAACCTGCCTCCCTCAGCCATGCCCATCTGCCTACAGTTGTCACCTAGCAGAACATTCAAATGATTAATCTGTCAAATCGATTAATCTATTGATAAAGTCTGAGCCCTAATAATTGCTGAAAAGCCCCACTTCTGAACCTTCTTGTATTGGAGACCATGCTCCCAACACCTGATCTTTTGGTGACATTCCAGATTCAAACCATAACAAGTGGAGAGCCAGTATTACTCTTCCTCTGACCTCTTTCTTATACTCCTGCAATAAGTGGATAAAGGCTTGACTGGGTTGTCATTTTGTCTTGTCTTAGTTGAACAACTCAACACCTGTCTGCTCTCAGTGGGTGGTCTAGATTAAGCCAAGAATCAAAAGATGAAAACAGTAGAGAGTTCTGTGTTCCAGTTTCTGAGCCTTTTTTACTTAAGCAAAAATAATTTCTTTGTATTGTGCATGGATTTGCATTTTGTTTGAGGGGAAAAGCTGAAGAGAATAAACACTATGTACATTTGGTTAATCATGTACATTTTTAAAAGTAGAACGCTTTAAGATTGTAGGTTATTGGTAGAACACAGAAATTAAATGTAAAAATTCCTTCCTGGGTCACTAGTTCTATCTTCCCTTCTATTTTTACAAGAATTGACTTGAGTAAGGGAATATTTCAAAGACATGTCCTTTATCAATATAGGTTCAGAAATGTTCCTGGTTCTGCCCCTTAGACACTCACATGTTTCTGAAAGAGAAAACTATGATGTTAAATGTTCAATTCTGCCTTTGAGATCATTTGAGAAGAAATCATGTGTGTTTTTTAAAGAGCTGTATATACAGAAGTTTCAGAGACTGTAGATAAAACAAAGCTCACCCTTCCACATGTACCAGGGAGAGTTGTTATAACTGTGTAATCACAGTTGTGACTGTTAGTAGATTTTGAGCCACTAACATTGGCACTAGTAGAAATCCCAGGAACCTCAAGAAAGCTACAATCTACAAATCCTTACATAGGACACAGTTCCTCATTCCTTCCTCCAATTATTAAGACAGAAGGAGCAGAAAGTTACCCTTCTGGAATCCAGCCATCAGTCAGAGTAACCATGCATTCTGAATTTCCCATTCCATTTACCTCTCATTTTGAAGTAAATAAGGGAAATGAGCATGGTGATGAAGACCATCAGCACCCAGAGGGCCACAATCATATCTTCTGCCCAGATGGCATCCAATGCAAATAGTGGATCTGAATCAGGAACTGGGAGACATGAAGGAATTAGGGAGCTGCCACTCAGAAAGGAGTGCTGTATTAAAGATTTATGATATATTTGTTTTTCAGATTACTATTATTCCATACTTTCTGAATTTGTGAGAATGGGAGAGAAGGAGGTTGGGTTACATGGACAATCCTGGACATGAGCAAGTTTGGGCTAAAGTTGGAGGAGGGCTGTGAGGTGGTGATATCCATTCTTCTATTCAATACCTTGGTGCTTGCTCTGGCTGGCCAGAGTCTGAAGGAAATATGGATATGTTATGCCTTTGTTGGCTTTATCTAGTGCTGAAGGTTCTGAAAAACTACAATTCCTAATAGTCATACTGTCATCTGGAGCAGAAATTTCCCTTAAAGTGTTTTTTTTTCTTGGTAATTCTATAGTGAAAACAAAAGTCCACAGCTCATGATATTGGTTCCTGTGTCTTGTGATGGTAGCACCATTGCTAAAATTATGCCAATTAGAAATTGTATTACTGTGTAACAATGCCAATTAGAAATTACTTTCTGCCAGGCACAGTGGCACATGCCTATAATCCCAGCAGCTCAGGAAGCTGAGGTAGGAGGGTTGCAAGTTCAAAGCCAGCCTCAGCAATGGTGAGGCACTAAGCAACTCAGTGAGACCCTGTCTCTAAATAAAATATAAAATAGGGCTGGGGATGTGGCTCAGTGGTTGAGTGCCCTTGAGTTCAATCCCTGGTACTCCTCAAAAAAACAAAAAAAAGAAATTACTTTCCTATATAAACTATAGATAGCTAGTATCCCATTTATTAGTATAAAAGTTCCTAAGAAAAATAGAATAATAATGTGATCCAAAAGTTTCATGTCTGTGTATACACCCAAAGGAATTGAAAGCAGGGACTAGAAGAGATGTTGGTATACCCACATTTACAGTAGCATTTGGTGTAAGAGCTAAAACAGAAAGCAACCCAGCATCTCTCAGAGGATGCATGGATAAACATCTTATATCAATACAAAGGAATGTTGCTTAACCTTAAAAATGAAAAATATTTTGCAATATATTACAACATGAATAATCGTTGGGGACATTATGCTAAGTGAAATATGCCCATCAAAAAATGACAAATACTATATGATTGCACATATGTGAGGTACTTAAAATAGACAAAAACATAAAGAGAGAAAATAGAGTGATGGTTGCCAGGGGCTGGAGGTGAAGATAGTGAGTTATGGTTTGATGAATATAGAATTTAAATTTGGGAAGATAAGTTTTTTGGAGATGGATTGTGGTGATGGTTGCACAACAATATGAATGTACTTAATATCACTAAATGGTGGAGTTAAAAATGATTAAAATGGTAAATATTATGTTGTGTACATTTTACCATAATAAAAAATTATTGTTTCTGCTTTTCAAGGAACAATGTTATGAAAATGAAAAAGCGAGCCAGACAGGGAGAAAATATTTGTAAAATATATATTGACTAATTATATGAGTTTAGAACATTTTATCTTTCATTTTTTACAAGGCACCTATGACTATCTATACCTTATTATATCATTTGCATTTCTTTTCATAGAAAAAATAGTGTTGGGTAACAGCTATGCATCTACCTTCCCTGTGGTTGGCAGTTGTTGAGTTCTTGGAGCATCCTGCACATCTCCAGTAGGAGCCAGAGTGGGCAAAATTAATTTCTGTCCTTCAAATATAAGGAAATATGAGGGGGCTATTCTGTGATCACTTGCTGCTTCTGATCACCAGATGCATGGGTGGCCATCATTGTTACAATTTCCCCTCTTATTGCATGTATCTCTCTCTCCAATTGAGATAACATCCAGGGGACTTACCCCCACCACTGCTTTGTTTTTCTCTTTTCTTTCATTATCCACAGCTTTAATGCAACTCGTACAAAAATTCAGTGGCATTTGTTGCAGGAATAGAAAAGCCCATTCTAAAACTCATAGAGAATCTCAAGGAGCCCCAGATATCACCCCCCCTCAATTTTTTTTTAAAAAAGAAAAAAGCTGGAGGACTCTTCACCTGCTTTCAAAACCTACTACAAAGCTTACAGCACTTAAAACAGTGTGGACCTGGCATACAGACATGCATGTGGACCAATGGAATAGAATGCATCCTACGTCCTTACATATTAAAAAAAGTGATCTTGAACAAGGTGCCAATACCATTCAGTGGGGAAAGGACTCTCTTCAATAAATGGTGCTGAGAAATACTGACTATTCACATGTAAAAGACTGAGGTTGGGTCTTTATCTAATGCTGTATCCAAAGATTAACCCTAAATTGGTATATCATTATGTATAAAAAGCATAAATGTAAAATCTGATATTGTGTAACTCTTAGAGAAAAACAGGCCAAGGGCTTCTTGACATTGGACTTAGCAATAGGTTCTTGGATATTGTATCAAAGAAATCATACACAAACTGAACTGAGTGCATAAAACTTTTTAAAAATTGTGCATTAAAATGCATCATCACAGGCTGGAGTTGTAGCTCAGTGGTAGAGTACATGCCTAGCATGTGTGAGGCACCGGGTTCAATCCTCAGCACCACATATATAAATTAAATAAAGGTATTGTGACCATGTACAACTAAAAAAAATTAAATGCACCATTAATAGAATAAAAATATCAGCCTAAAGAATCAGAGAAAATATTTGTAAATCTTTTATTTGATAAAGATCAACATACAGAGCATATAGAGAACTCCTGAAAGTCAAAATGAAAAACAAACAATATTATTCAAAACTGGGAAAATGACTTGAACAACCATATCTTCATCTCACAAAAATAGAAGGGAGACCAACAGAATAGAGGGAGTGGATCAAGAGGGAGGCAGGAGGGTTGGGCATGGGGAATTACTAGGGAGTAAAATCCACTTAGTTATGCTATGTCTATGTATGAATACCACAATGAATCATATGTGTGTATACACACAAATATACATGCACTAATATATATGTGTTCCAATAATTAAAATAACAATAATAGTAATAGAGAAACTAGTAAAGTACAGCAAGAAGATGAGGGGTTGGGGGGGTAGGAAAAGTACTGGGGAATGAGATTGATCAAATTATGTCCTATGTATGTATGATTACAGCATGATGAATCCCATCATTATGTATAACTATGATGCACCAATAAAAATTCTCCAAAAAAAAAGACATACTAATGGTCAATAAGAACACAAGAAGATGTTTAACATCATAAACGATTAGGAAAATATAATTTGAAACTATAATGAGATACCATGTTACTTTTCTAGTTGGTTACCATATATGGAAAAAAAGACAGTGTTGGTGTTCACAGGAAGTAATAGGAATTCTTGTGTACTATCTGTAAGGATAAAAAAAAATGGTGAAGACACTGTGGAAAACAATATGACAGTGCCTTCAAAAATTAAAAAGAAAATTGGACCAAGTTCCATTTCTGTATTTATATCTAAAATAATTAAATTCAGGGTCTAGAAGAGGTAGACCTGTGTTCATAGCAGTGTTATGCAAAATAATGTGCCAGTGCACAATATGCACTTAGACTCTAGCCGTTTCAATAATTATAGTGTACATTTCTTCAATGAAAAACTGAAAATACTATAAAAGAAAGGGATGCTTAGTAGTAGCTGTCTTGTGTAAAATGAAATAATGTATTCTAGATTCAATTATTTGTCAGTATGTGTATTTTACAAATCTTTTATTCCACTCTATAGTGCCTTTTCTTTGTTGTAACAGTGTCCCTTGAAAAGTAGAAAATTTTATTTTTTAATCATAGTAAAATGTACATAACATGAACTTTACCATCTTTAACAATTTTTAACTCTACAGTTCAGTTATATCATGTGCTTTCATACTATTTTTAATATATTTTCCACTTTTCACTTTCATTTTATTTTTTAATTCGTTTTTTGTTCTTTTTAGTTATACATGACAGTAGAGTATAATCAGACATATTTATACAAACATGGAGTACATCTTATTCTAACTGGGATCCCTGTCTTGTGGTTGTACGTGATGTAGATTCACTGTGGTGTGTTCATATATGTACATAGGAAAGTTAAGTTCATATTGTTTTGCAGCTATCACCTCCATTCATCTCCAGAAATTTTTTTTATATTCCAAATTGAAATTCTGTAATCATCTAACAATTCCCTATCTTCTACATCCAGCCCCTGCCAGCCACCACTCTATTTTTTGTCTGCTTGGTTTTGATTACTCCTAGTGCCTTATACAAGTGAAACCATATAGTATTTTTTTGTGAGTAGTTTATTTCATTTAGAATAATATCCTCAAAGTTCATTCATGCTTTAAGCTGAACATATTGTAAGATGCTGCAGAATTTCTACTTTCATCTCTTTTGGTTTAAGACCATTAGTGTCTTCATTTTATCAGAAAAAGTTAATGAAAAAAAAATCATCTGAAGAGTCCAGTCCTACTTTATGGTTTCTGCATTGTGGTTTTGTCTATGACGCTGACATATTATTAAAAAATTACTTTATCTTAATGATCATTACCTTGTACATACAATTTTCTTAGGGACCTCAAATATACTGTGGATGGCACATTTTAAATGCTCAGTTCAACTATCCCAAACTTTTGTAATTACTATTTTAATTTCACCTTCAATGAGAGCCAAAAAAGAAGGATCAATTTCAGGTGTCCACACACACCATGACATTAAGCAAAATTCTTATGTACTGATGGATAATTTTGAAAGAGGGTCCCTTTCTTTGCATCAATCTCTGAAAGATATCTATGACCTACAAACATTAAGATACAGTGAATCATTATCTCTAGGTTAAAGTATGGGAATAATTAGAGTAACTTATAAAGCAAAATGCTGATGGCTAGATTTAGGAGCAAAAATGAGACTATTAAATTGAAGAAATATTTTCTCTAGAAGCAGAAACATCAGTAATTTTTAATGTATCATTAATCCCATAAAATTCAGGAGGCTGGAATTCAAACCCTATGACATGTGGCCCAAGGGTCTATTGTTCCTATAGTTCACACAAGTATCCCTCCTCTTTCTTTGGCTAAGTGTCTTAAGAGCTACTGGGCATTTGGGGAAAAGAAATTTTCATCCTCTTGATCGTACATACCTCTTTGACGCTGATACAAACAGACACTGAGTATGACATCTACAACCACTGAAGAAATAATTATTACTGAACCCACTAACAGAGGAGAATTCCAGCTGCAGCATCTATCTGAAGAAAACGAAATGTTAATAATCACTGGTTACTGGTGGGAGGCACTTTGGATTTGGGGGAAAGCACAAAAGAAAACAACAGCTATATTTTGATGCCATCTCCAGTATTGATTAAGAACAGGACTAAGGATTAGGACTTAAATATCAGAAAGCTGTTGTTGACAGGTAAAAGGGATGGGACATGTGTTGGGCTGAGGCTAAACAGGCCTGGAGGAAAGAAACAAATCTTACTCTACCTAGCCCATCATTCAATGGACCTCATTAGAGAGCAGGATATGGGGTTTTAAGGTCTTTAAATACAAGAATATCACAAGTGAAATGACCTTCAGATAACACATTATTTAAAATATTCTTTACTCAAATCATGGTAGTATCATTTGGCTGTCTCTTCATGGAGTTATTTCATACTATGAAGGCTTACTACTATGGGTTTGCCCATTCTTCTGCTAGAGGGTTAAATGATCAGTTCAACTTAGTGATTAAAATATAGGATATGAGTGTCCATATAGTTTATATTCAAACTTATTTCCTACCATTATCACCTTTGTGATTTTAGGTGCAACACCACTTTGAAATACATAATTTTCATCATATGCTAAAATGGGGATAGTAATAACATCTAGTTCAAAGTGCATTATAGAGGTCAAATTCCTTAATAATTATAAAGTTACTGGAATATGGCTTGTTAATAGTAAAAACTCAATAAAGTGTTAGCCTCTCATGGTTATAATTCCTACCACAGAATGAACTCTGCCACCTTGAAAATGATTCATTTCAAATGATTTAAGAACACCTTCTAGATAATGATGAATAAATGTTAGGAGTTAAAATTATGCCAGAAGGGAATAGTTGAATAACTGGAGGCAGTTTGATTTGTAAAGATCAATGTAGAAAGATCTTTTACTAAAATCTCTAAAGAGTTATCTAGAACCACACATGTTGCCTTAGAAATCTCAATAAAGCACAAAATACTAGAAGGAAGTATGCAATAAAAAAAGGAAGTGCATTAAAAGGTGTAATGAAGGAGAGGAAAATTTTAAAAAAATCCTTGAAACTTGGATGCTGTCAATAAGCAGATAAGCTACAAAATAAAAATTTACTTTATTGAAACAGCAACTGGCAGGAGCTAAAGTTGTGGATTTGTGGCTTTCTGGTATGTGGGTTCTTCCCTAGCCCCATGGACATAGTAATGGAAAATGGCAGCCATTTGAATCAAATAACAGAGTTCAGGCCAGAAGAGCAGGTAGAAATGAAAAGGAGAGATCCATCAAGTTGGGATAAGTGCAGAAGAACTGAGACCCATATCCTCAGCTGACTATTTGGTTTGGGAGGAGATCCTAGGGGATCTTATCTGATTGTTAAAGACAGGGTACCAGAGTGGGTATGTGAGCTTGAGGCTTTTTAAATTGAGTCTGGAATTATTCTTCTCAAATACATCCAAAGACATAGTTTATGTAAAAATTTCTCTTCTAGTCATATGAACGAGCATATCATCTACTTTGGCCTACTGGCTTGTGCATATTGGGCATGACCTTGTCATTTTGTTTGGAAATCTGATGTCTTTCTTCCCAGAGGAAAGACTCCTAGCCCACGTAGAAATGACATCCTGTCCTGCAATGCTGTATGAGGAAATGAATCCAGGAGACTGCTCTTGAGCCAATCTAGAATTCTGCTATGCCATTTTGAATGTTTTGGTATGTTGTAAACCTTTATTGAGTTGGTGCTTTCCAATCCCGAATGGCTATTTATTGTGTATACTGAGTTTTATTGTGAATCCTTCAATTCCACTTCCCCCTATAGCATAATTTAGAATGAATGAAAACTTTTTCAGTGGTGAGTGATCTCTCTGAAGCCTTTTCATGGAAATATGCAGTTTGATACTCTATTTTCTGTCCCCGAGAAGGTCATTTCCAAGAGAGAAATATGTATTAATGGTGTTAGATGTTGTTAAAATCTTTCCAAGCTTGTTTGCCTATCTATTACCATAAAAAAGAGGTTTCGGCTTGTATAAGGTGCAAAAAGCTCAGGTTTCCAGATAAGTAACACTGTAAGCAGCTCAGCAACAAGACAAAAACATCTAGGACCGAGGAATTGGTGTAGGATATATATCTAACACCCAAGAGTTTAGAATGTCTCAGGTAGACAGACTTGGGAAGAAAGAGCAGCTTTAGCTCTTTCCCCTCTTCCACTTTGCATCTCTCATTCTTCAAACCTACTTACCTTGTTCCTGTTGGCAATAGAATACAACACTGGGAAATGCAATAGAGGATATCAGCACTGTCACAAGTGTAATTATAATTATTATCCAAATTTTCTTCTGTGAAAATAGTTCATCTGAAATGGAGAGTTACAAATCTTACCTCCTAGGAAACTTGGGGTGAAGGACCCACCCAATTAAAAATGATGATTCATCCAAAGCATAATCCAATTCAAGATCCCTTCTCCCTGGAATATTAAACCTAAGCCAGTTTGGAGAGGCATTTATTATTGGGTAGGTGAAAAGTAGGATTGGGTCTAGAATGAGGCTGAGTCAGGCTGACACATGTGAGTGAAACCCACTCTCTGTATTTCTTCCCATGCATTCTGTTTCATGAGCTCCTTGGGTAAAAGAGGTAGTGCTAAGTTCTTCCCCCTTAAACTCCCACCCAAGACTCAGATGCAGTTTTTCCAGGACTATAACAAGGTCACTCCCAACTCAAGCCTTCCTTCAGTCCTCTTGTCTAAACTATCAGAATATGTGCAGTTCTGAATTAGCCAATGTACTTTTTGGGTCTGGCATTATTCTTCTCAAATATATCCAAAGACATAGTCTATGTAAAATTTTCTCTTCTAGTCATATGGACAACATACTTTGGCCTACTGGCTTGTGCATATTGAGCGGATCAAGATACCCATGGTGTTGTAACTAATCCTATATCCAGATAGCCATCCTGTCCTCCTACCGCAACCCAGTGAGGTCAAAACAGACCTTTGTCTGCTCACAAGTCAGTCAGGGACAGAGTCCCAAGTAAGATTAAACTTATGATATTTTCTTTAACATAAGTTTTGACTCTTTCCATATGTTCTGATATTCATGAATGGAACATCAGATCTCCCTGAGATGTCTATATTTCCTGAAGCTGAAAATTATTTCCCAAAGTTTGTGTTAATTATAATTCTTTTTAAAAATATAAGTTTGTAGAAAAGTACTTGTCTACTTTAAGCAAGTGCTAACTCAAAAAATATGTCTCATTATTTTCGGAAGTTGCAATTAAATGAAATATTTTCCCTTCTATATCTGCCATGAACTATAGGGACAGAGAGTAGATAGATCAATCTTTCTTTATTTTTATATAACAGTTTGTCCTTCTGTTTCTAACACAATATAATATGAAGCTTAGTTTTTGAATACCAAATGAGAAAATAAATGTAAAAGTGTTTGAATAAAGCAAATTGCTAAAACTGTTAGAAGAATTAATATTCTTATTATAATATACATGAGTTACAATATGCTTCTCAGCTTCTGGTTCCAACACTAATTTTATGAACTCATACAAACACTAATACATACATATATAACTAGTAGTTTACAAGATACTTTTTTGGTTTTATTTCAATCATTTAAGTATAAGTTATTGATTGTCTAAATACTATATGCCATACAATATCTGAAGCAGTTGGGGGAGTGTCTCAGTTAATAAAACCAACAAAAATTCCTACCTTTATGTTTCGAAGAGGAAAATAGATAAGAGAAAATAAAATAATTACGCTATGCTGTGGGTTAAAAAGTAATGATACTAAAAATAAAAAATTAAAGAAGTATGAGGAGATAGGAGACCCCAGGTGATAGGAAGCAGGTTACATTTTTTTTCAGGTCAGTTTGTGGAACAAGTTCTTATTAAGAAGATTAGAGTTTAGCATAGACTTTAAGGAGACAAGGAAGGTTAGTGAGATTTATTGCATTGTAGGAAGGGAGAACAACTAGAGCAAAGACCCCACAGCAGGAGTTCATCTGCACAGATGGGGGCAGCAACGAGTCTGTGTGACTCTAGAGTGGACAAAGGAGGACACCAGGAGCTGAGGTCAGATAGGTAATGGGAACACAGACAGTCACGCATGACGTTGTGGGGCATTTTACTCTGAATAAAATGGGGAACAATTGTAGGGTATTGAAAGAGGGTAGTGTTTTATGTCTCATGTTTGAGATGGGTCCTGCTGTCTGCATGTTGAGCTAAGCCATGTGAGTAAGAACAGAGGTGGGACTCTTTCAGATGCTACGGCACTGCATCGCTCAGTGGGGGATGGGGTCTGATTTGGAGGGCAGTGGTGAGGTGGTGAGAAGTGATGAGACACCAGGTATTTATTTTAGAGCTAGACATGGTGTTATTTCTTGACAGATACTATGTAGAATATGAGAAAAGAATTGGAGTCAAGGATAAGTTTAAAGATTTTGTTCTGAAAAATTGAAAATATGAAGTGTGATTGGGAAGGTAGTAAACTAAAACAAGAATATAGTTTTTACTTGGCATGAGGTACCCACTGGACTATGTTGAGATGCTGAGATGGAGATGAGAACAGAGTGGAAAGAGGTCCGGCCTGAAGATAAAATTTAAGAAGCCATAATTAGATCAATGGTATTTAGAGCCAGGAGGCAGGATGAACTCATTAGAGAGTAAAGGCTGAAAACCTGGGAAATCCAATATCAAGAACACAGTGAAAACTAGTGAATGTAGGAAAGAGAAGAAGAAAGACAACAAGCAAAATGATGAATAAATCCAAGAGAAACCAATGCCTTGGAAACCAAGTGAAGAAAGCAAATGAATTTTTCTGTTTTGTTTATTCGTCATGTGACATTGGCTATCATTTGAAGAACAAATACACAGATCTCACCTGCTAAGACAATGCTTGTTCTTTCCTCTTGGCCAGTTAGAGGGTTTCTAAGGTAGCAAGCAACATTTCCAGAGTGGGCATCCCTGAGAAGAAGGGTCATCTTCATGTTGAACAATTTGTCTCTATCCTGTGAGTGAGATTTTGATGTAGGTAGGAGTATGTCTCCTCTGCTGTCTCTCCATTCCATTTGAGGCTGTGGGAACCAACCTCCTGAATGACATTCCATAATAAGACCTTTGGTATTAGGAGGATGCACAAAAATCTGTATGTCTGAGCTTGTAGCTGGTTGGATATGAAGGGGGAAAACAATATTTATAGGTAAAGGGAAGAGGAACATAGCAGCGAAACAAAATTCCAAAGGAAAACCAAACAAGCCAGGCAAAAGGGTTACACCATACAAAGAACATCTTGTTCTAAATAAGTTAGGGGAGAAAATGACTCTTTGTTTTATTTATTTATTCATTCATTCATTCAAAAATGTTTATTGGTTATTTACTAAATCTTAGAGGCTTAAATGGGTCCTTGGATTCCTAAAATGATTACATTATGATTATATAACTATTATAAGATTACAGACCTCATAGGTATATGGCTTAATATCTTTTATTCTATCTTCATCATGAGTCACTTTTGAGCCACCATAATCAATTATAAATAATTGATTACAGTATGAATCCAAGTTTGCAACTTAAACTGAAACTTTATGTGTTCATTATATATAACAGGTATTTATATATAATATGTCTTGCATAAACAGGTAATATACTGATGACATCAAAATACATATTCATTTAGAGAAAAAAAAAACTTTTGAAGAATTTCAAGGTATTGCCTGAGACATAAGACTTGACTAATGTGTGGACAAAGGAAGAATTAGTAGAGATTTAAAGTGTAACCCCAAAGCAGATCTGTCCAATAAGACTTTCTGCAATAAGAGAAATAGTCTATACCTCTGCTTATGATAGAGTAGCTATGTGCTACATGAGAATATTACCTGGAATGGATGGAGTCAGTGAGATTTTAGAACTGGACATGTAATTTTTATTTCTTTAATTTTGATAAATTTAAATATAAATTTAGATGATCACCTCATATTGGATAGCTCAAATCTAGACTGCAGAGTCAGGTGGTATATAATGCCCAATAAGTATGTTAAACATGAGTGGGCCAGAGTCCTACATTTGGATGCTCCCATATATGAAATTCTTCGGTTTACTCCATATCTCTTGCATTTCTCTGTCATTTGGAATAATTTAAAGGATGAGGAGCTTGACTTAAATACTATGAATTTGCATCCCATATAGATATAGCATATATATCTGAGGACGTTGAAGATTGTAGATAAAGATTTTTTTTCAAATAGGTTTAAGAAAATTAACTTAGCACTAAATAGTCAGTGAATTGAGTCTAGGAGAAGTGACAATAAAATTACCATTAAGGAGACTTTTGTAAAGCTTCAGGTAGCTTGTAAAATTACATTTTACTAAAGTGCTACCAGAAATAACTGAAAACATAAACAAATCTTAAAAATGGAACTATTGGTCTTTTAGAAATCTACAATGTATGTGGACATAAAAAGAAGGTATTTGGTGATAGAGTTGTTGTCTTCACAGTTTTCACCCTTGATCATCTACTCTTTCCAATTAAAAAACTAAATGCATAAATTTGAACTTGCTAACCAAATTATGTAAAAAGGAAATAGTCTGAAACACTTGAGAGTTTTTCTGATGCTGAGCCACAGATGGGTTGAGAATCACAGATGCAGAGAAACTTCAGAGGGATCCACCTTACCTGTGACCTTCACTTCTGTGATGTCCTCTTCAGAGAAATCACCATCTCTGAAGAAGCAGTGGTACTGCCCATCGTCATCAACACTGACATTAAAGATCCTGAGGGTCACTTTACCTTCTCCAATGGCATCTTTGAGGAGTTCTGTCCGCTCCACATACCCGGAGGTAGTTTCTCCATACAGGTCTTTACCCCCCTTGTACAGGTAAATAGGTTGTGTGTAGCGGTTACGGAACCAGCGGATCTCCATGTGTTGTGCACTCTGCGGTGGAGACAACTGGCAACTGAGCTCAACTTCTCCACCAAATGGAGCCAGGATTGGCCCCTTTATGCCTTTCACCATGAATTGTTCTGGGAATGGAAACAATAACCAAAAGGTGAGAGCATGAGTTAGGACACACCTTCTACTCAAAATCATTATCATCTCTCTCTTTCTCTCTCTCTCTCTCTCTCTCTCTCTCTCTCTCACACACACACACACACACACATATCCTTTATTGAGAGTCAATTATTTTTTTCACCCTGAAGACATTTTAACTTAACCCTTGACTGGAGTAGAGTTCATGAAATTATTTACCTTAAAAAATATGAAAATATGGCTTCATTGCTGCTAAATGGTTTGTCTTTGTTAGGAAAAAGTTTAATAGTTGCTTCTTATTCCATTCTATTTGTTCATCCTTTGTAAACCTCTGTCTCAGACTGCTTTTAATATTTGCTGCACTTTAACTATAATGAATGTATCCTTTTTTCTAGATAATTTTCATAGGGCTTCTTGAATTGGAAGATTCTTATTTTTTTTCAATTCTAGAAATTTCTACTCATTGCATGTTTAATTTTATTTCTCTTATTCTCTATATTCTTTTATAATGTAACTGTCTTGGCTGTTTTAGGAATTACCAGGAAGATATCCTAAAGTACCACCACCTTCTCCTCCAAGATTCATTTTTTGTTTTCCCTTTTTGGTGCAACTTGGCTATAGTACATGTTCTTTCAGGCAAGAGACTCAGAAACTCTCAAGGCTGATATTAGTCCCTGACTGGAATAAGATGTGAGAATATGGGGCATTTTAGACTCTCTCATTTTCGTCTCTTGCACCACTCATTGAAGGGAGAATGAAAAGCAGTTGTTCTCACAGTACTCTCCAACTTCCCACATGATGGCCACCTTACCTCTCTCAATATCTTCTGTTATATCACCACTTAATCAAAATGGCCAAATCAATTTAGGTTTTTTACACCCTTGGAGGCTTCACAGTCTCAAGTATCAGTGTGTGATTGATCAATTTATATTTAATACATTTATATTAAAAATTATTTTGTAAATGTGAAGGAATGCTACATTAGGTGCTGATAGTTCGATCTCTAAATTATTGTATGCCTATATAACAAATCTTTGGGGATAGTTTCATATATTTGAGCATTGCTAGTGAAGTTAATCTTCTTTCCTTAAACAATTAAACTCTTATTTGGATCTCTAAAATACAGATTATTTTGTGTGTGTTTTAAATGCACGTGTTACAGACAAAATAATTGCAAAGAGTGATTATACATTGGCTGCCATGTTTACCTTCACATCTACTTCAAAATAATAATGATGAGGGGTTAAATCATTTCATTGTTATTCTCTACTAGTTTTTATATATAACTAGACAAATAATTTGTTACATTTTCATCTTTATTTTTTTTATTTGTTGCTTTTAGATATACATGACAGTAAGGCGTATTTTGATATATTATACATACATGGAGCACAACACATTCCAATTAGGATTCCATTCTTGTGATCATACACAATATGGACTTACACTAGTTGTGTATACATTGATGAGAAAAGGACAGTTATGTTCAATTCATTCTCCTGTCTTTTCTATTCCCTTCACCCTCCCTTCCTTTCATTCCACTTTGATTAATCCAATGAACTTCTATTCTTTCCCTCCCTACCTTCCCTTATTGTAGGTTAACATCCACATATTTATTTTTATTTTTGCTTTTTAGATACACATGATAGTAGAGTGTCTTTTGACATATAAGTTCTTTTTTTTTAAGACTGGGGATTGAACCTGGGTGCTTTCTGCCACCAAACTACATCCCTAGTCCTTTTAATTTTTTTATTTTGAGACAGGATCTCACTAAATTTCTCAAGCTGGGCTTGAACTTGCTATCTTCTTGCTTCAGCCTCTTAAATTGCTGGGATTACAAGTGTGTGCCACTGTGACCAGATACATACATATATGTGTGCACATGCATGTGTATGTGTTAGAATAAGAATAAAAAAATATATGAGTATATTCTTATATAAGTGTATATATACATATATATTCTTAAAGTTGTATAATACTTAATTTTATAATTTTTCAGGTTATAACAATCTCACAGGCAACAGAGAAAGGAAGAAAATACTCAAATTCAAAATAGAAAATATTAGAGCTTTTCCTATTAAAATCAACAATGCAGAAAGGATAACTCAGTGTAAGAATTTGAGGCTGCCAAAATAAAATTCTTTGAACTATTTCAAAAAGAAAACATGTATATAAACTTCTTTTTATCTATTTTTAAATTGGTGCATGTTAATTACACAGATTGATGAGTTTCATTGTGGCATATGGTACATGCATGTAACATAATTTGATCAAGTTCACTCCCCAATAACTCCTCTTAATTTCCCCTCTTCCATCACCCTTATTTCCTTCCTATACTCTATCAGTCTTCCTTCTACTTTAATATTTTTTCCTCCCCCTTTTTGTTCTCACTAACTTCCACATATGAGAGATAACACCTGGTACTCCATTTTCAGTTTGGCTTATTTTGCTTAACATGATTTTCTCCAGTTCCATACATTTTCCAGCAAATGATTTCACTTAGTTCTTCTTTATGGTTGATAAAACTTTGTGTGTATGTATGTATGTGTACGCTTATGTGTGTACGTGTAAGTGTGTATCACATTTTCTTTATCCATTATTCTGTTGAAAGACATCAAGTCTGATTGTTTGACTTTCGTGAATTGTGCTGTGATAAACATGGGTATTCATGTGTCCTTAAGTATGCAAACTTTCATTCATTGGATAAATACCAATGGTGGTATAGCTGAATCATATGGTAATTTTTTAAAATTTTTTATTGTTGGTTGTTCAAAACATTACATAGTTCTTGATATATCATATTTTTTGAGAAACCACCATACTGATTTCCATAGTGGCTATACTAATTTATATTCCCACCAAAAATGGACAAGATTTCCTTTTCCCCTGCATCCTTATTGGTCTTTATTATTATTTGCATTCTTGATGGTTGGCATTCTAACTAGAGTGAATCTCAGTGTTTTGATTTGCATTTTCCTGATGGCCAAAGATGTTGAACATTTTCCATGTAATTATTGACCATTTGTACTTCTTTTGAGACGTTTCAGTTCAGTTAATTTGCCCACTTATTGATTTGGTTATTTGTATTGTGATGCCTTCAGCTCTACTCTTTTTGATCAGGATTGCTTTGGCTATTCTGGGTGTTTTGTCTTTTAAAAATTTTGTAATTGCTTTTCCTAGTTCTATGAAGAATATCATTGGTATTTTTATGGGTATTGCTCTATAGATCAACTCTTGGTAATATGTCCATTTTAACAATAATTATTCTCCCTATCCATGAATATATGGGAGTTTTCTCATATTCTGATATCTGCTTCAATTTCTGCATTTCAAAATTTTCTTTATAGAGGTTTTTCACCTCCTTTGGTAGGTTTAGTCTTAGGTATTTTTTAATCTATTATAGATGTAATTATTTTTTAATTTCTTTCTTAAAAGATTCATTATTGGTATATAGAAAAACTATTTGTTGTTATACATCAATTCAGTATTCTGCTTCTTTTCTGAATTTATTTATCAGAGTTAAGTGTCATTTGAACCAATGTTTAGGGTCTTCTAAGTATATGATTGCTGCTGCCAATAGGGGTAATTTGACTTCTTCCTTTCCTATTATATCCCTTTATTTCTTTCCCTTGCCTAATTGCTATGGCTCAAATTTCAAGGACTATAGTGAAGAAGAGCCTTGATGTCTTTCAAAAACAGCAGCTATCCTTATCTCAATCCTGAATTTGAAAAAAAAAATGCTGTTTTTCTCCATTCAGTATGATGCTGAGTTTGGTTTTGTCATATATAGCCTTTATTATGTTGAAGGATTTTCCTTCTATACCTACTTTCTTCATGGACTTTATCATGAAGGAATGTTCAATTTCATCAAATGCTTTTTCTGCATCTATTGAAATGATTATGTTTTCTTTCCTTGATTCTATGTATGTTCTATACTACATTTATTGATTTGTATACATTGAACCATCCTTGCACTTCTGGAATAAAACCAATTTGATCATGTAATATGTGTTTTTTAATAATGGTTGAATTTGGTTTGCAAGTATTTCTTTCTTTCAGTTAGTTTGGCTAAGTTTTTACCAATTTGTTTATTTCCCCCCCCCAAAAGACCCAACTATTTATTTCATTGATCATTTGTGTTTTTTAAATCTTTTTTTAAAGAGAGAGAGAGAGAGAGAGAGAGAGAGAGAATTTTTTTATATTAATTTTTTTATTTCGGCGGACACTACATCTTTGTTTGTATGTGGTGCTGAGGATCGAACCCGGGCCACACGCATGCCAGGCAAGCGCGCTACCACTTGAGCCACATCCCCAGCCCCAATCATTTGTATTTTTATTTTACTTTTTATTTCATTAAGTTTAGCTCTGATGTTTATGATTTATTTCATATTTCTAGTTTTGGTATTGTGTTGTTCTTGTTTTTATAAGTCATTGAAATGTATCATTAGTTTGTTTTTTTTGAGATCTCTCTGATTTTTTTAAAGGTAGGCACTAATATATATAAACCTCCCTCTTAGAACTGCCTTTGCTGTATCCCATAAATTCTGATATGTTTTATTAATATTTCGGATTCCAAGAATTTTTAAACCCATCTCCACAGTTTCTTCAGTGATCCACTTATCATTCAAAAGAAACTCTTTCTTACATTTGTATAATTTCTGTGTTTTTTCATTGTTGATTTTTAATTTCATTTCATTCTGATCTGAAAAGATGCAAGAGATCATTTAAAATAGATAAGGTTTGCTTTTTGGCTTAATACATGATCACTTTTGGAGAAAGTTCCATGAGTTTCTGAAAAGAATGTGTATTAAGCTTTTTTTGGATGAAATATTTTGTAGATTCTTGTTAAATTTATTTGGGCTATATTAGAGTTTAAATCTGATGTGTCTTTCTTGATTTTGTGCCAGAATGACTTGTTAGTGAGAATGGGGTAGTGAAGTACTCCACTATTATTGTATTGGGACCTGTCAGTCCCTTTGTATCAATGTTTGCTCTATGAAATTAAGTGCAGTGACATTTGGGGAATAAATAATTATATTTTTGTTAGATTGTTTCCTTTACCAATTGTTTCCTTTATCAAATGTTTTGACATTGTTTGTCTGTTCTATTTTTTGGCATGAAGTCTGCTTTGTCTGTATATGGGATTAGCTAATCCTGCTTAGTTTTGGAGTCCATTTGCATGGGATATCATTTTGCATCCTTTCACTTTTCAGTCTCTGAACATCTTTGCCTATGAGATGTGTTTCTTGGGACAACATACTGTTGGGTCTTGCTTTTCAATCAAGTATTCTATTCTATATCTTTTAATTGGAGAATTAAGACCATTTGAACTCATAAAAAATTAAGACCATTTGAACTTGTTCTTATAGGGGTATGTACTACCATCTGTCATTTTGTTTCATTTTTCATATTTGAATCATGACTAATTCTCATTTGCTTATCTATTTTTTCTAATGAATTTATTCTTTTCCCTGATCTCTTGGTTATTTTTATTTTCCTGTTCTGTGTGTATCTTCTCCCTTAGATCATTCCTTGGAACTTTGATCATTGTTTTTCAATATTGTTTAGTTGTCACTGGATCTGTATTTTATTTATTTATAGGTGGTGCTGTAACTTGATGCCGGTGCCTCACACATGCTAAGCAAGCATTCTGCCACTGAGTTGCAACCTCAGCCCAGAACTTTGATCATTTTGACAATCAACTTTTTGAAATTTTTCCTGACATTTCTTCTACTTCATTGTCTATGGGTTAAACTATTGGAAAGTTATAAAATTTTGGAGACATGTTTCCATATTTCTGTTTTGATATTTGAATATCCGCTGGGCTAGATATATCTTCTACTCTTATGTCAGAGAATTTTTTAGTGAATTACTTTGTGTTTACCATGTGCCCTAGACTGTGGGTAAATCTCAGCATAAAAGCAACTTCTCAACATATTCAACTACTGTGATCAATTCCTAACCCTTCTTTGAGAAGACATAATAATCTTGAGTAAGTGACCATTTGAGAGTAAACCATATGCTAATAATCCATAAAAACTTATAGAAAATGATCTTTGTAGCTCCACTCATCCAAAAGTGAAAATGGGAATAATACTATACTAGGTTGTAAAGTTGGATATTGAAGAAAGTAAAATTAATATTTAACTTTGCCGAGTAGCTGATCTCTCAATGCTTTTACTCCAGAATGGAGGAGCGGGCATTTGTATAGCCTGCTTTTGATCCACCATCTTGATCTTTCAATCTCTGGAAATTTTTTAAATAAGAGCACTATTTTTAAATAACTACTGGGTATGGAATATATCTACAAAATATTAAAGTTTATTGCATAAATATAATCATCTTTTTGAAATCTGAAATTAGTTCATGAAGATATCTCAATGGAACAGAGTTTAGAAATTCAGACACACTGGAAATTTGGTTTATGACAAAGATGACTTCTGGAATCAGTGGAGAAAGTTGAGTTAATCAGTGGAAAGGACAACTGATTAATTATTTTTGGACAAAAATAATGTTGGATCTCTCTCAAGCCTTGCATAAAAAGAGAAAATGTTAATAATAAGTGAAACTGTGTGTTTGTGGAAGGGAGGCAGATGGCAATAAGGGAGTGGGATTATATGGGAACTCCATACACTTCCTGCATAATTTTTTCATGAACCTGAAACTGATTTAGAAAAAAATAGCTAAAAATTAAAAATAAAAATTAAGTGAGTTAAAAATAAAAAGTCAATTAGGAAAAAATGGAGGACAAAATAAATAACAACTTTGGCAGGCAATTTTGCAATCAATGAAATAAAATTAAAATTCAAAATAAAATAAATTTTATATATCCAAAATATGATTTAAAAATCTAATAAATTATAAACTTGTCATAAACATAGGGAACAGATAAAACAGATTAAAAATCAAATCAAAGGTTAGTATTTTCTTTGTTGCTTTTTATGAATGCCTAACAATGAAGAGGAAATAAGAAGTTAGAAAATAAACAGGAAGTTCAGAGAATAAGAAAATACAAAATTTTTGGAAAGATACTCAACCATACTCATTAATAAGAAACTAGAAAGTAATCAGTGTAAAATCCTATTTTTCAGCAATAAGTTTGGAAAAGATAAAAAAAAAAAACTTTGATACCTGTAACATCTACCTGACAAACTCACATATGCTATTTGGCAGAAGTTATTGACAACTACTTCAGAATAACATTTTCAATATAACAGTAAAATAGTGCATAAACTATGGTCAGCAGTTCTACTGGAAATACTTTGTATGTTCACACTCACAGTTATGCTTAAAACAGGTACAATGATATTTGTGGAATTTTTTATTTTAATTAACAAAAGACTGAATCCCACCTAATGTTGTATCAGTAAGATGTTTTTCATCTAACGTGCAGCTTTTACTAGAAATATCTATACTTTTATGTCATTTGTTGTCTTAGAATTTTATGGATCTCTAAATACCTGTATTTATTTCTGCCTTGTCTAGATTCCTTGACAAATGCAGATTCCCATCCTCTATCAAGATCCCTCTAGTCTGTTTCATCTTTCCTTATCTTATTCTACACTGTTCTGAAAACACACAGGGATTCCAAGATGGATCCACTCCTTGCACCACTTCCTCTCTGCAAAAGTAATACATAAATCATGTCTCCTCAACATGAAAGGTTCTCAAGGGCAAGTTTTAATTTATCTTTATTTGTTTTTCCTTCCTGGAACCTAGTACAAATCTGAGTAAAGAAAACTTGCTCATTAGGAATGATTAATTCTTCCTAAATATAAGCTGTATCCTATGGTGCTCATCTTCATATCATTACTACATATTAAACCTTAGAAGCAATTGTCAAAAAGTAAATTAAAAACTTATTTTTTGAGTTCACCCTTGCTTTTCCTGGCAAACTTCATTTTTCTTATGTTTGTAAGGACAAGTGAGAGATCATACCTGAACTTGGAGTAACCATCTGAAGGAGGTACAGGACAACAAAGAGTCTGCAGAAAAGTACCCTTGTAGTTTTCATTGCACCTGTGATAAGGAATGAGGAAAGTTCATAAACAGTGATAACAGGAGTAAGAAGTTGCAGAATTCAAACACCTCCACATCTTTTCATAGTAATTAACTCTCAAGTAAACTTGCCAGGTAAAATGTAGGACATCCAGTTAGATTTTAATTTCAGATAAACAATAAGCAAGTTTTAGTATAAGCATTTCCTTTGTAGTATTTAGTGTCCTCAAATTTTGATTTGCTAACTCTGGCAACCCAACCCTTAAGAATATGCAATATAATGAGTAGGCCCAGACTGACCTGTCTTTCCCACTCAAGGGCGAGTTCTTCCCAAGCTAGATGTCATTTGTCTTCTGGTTTTGTAGACTTCATTGAATGACCGGCTTTTTCAAAGTGACAGACCTAGAGAACAGAACCTTATCTCCTAAGTCTCTGTACTGCAAACATCTGTCACATATAATTACATTTACTTAAACAGAAAACTTTACAGACAGAGATTTAGGCTTATTATTAGGGGAGAACCGAGTGGCCATTTCAGAAAGGAATATTGGCTGTTCATTCATATGATAGTTTGATTTTTGACTCAGCAGATAAATGTGATAGTTATCAATGGGTACCTCAAAAAAAACAAAACAAAACAAAACAAAACAAAAAAAAAAACAACCCAGCTTCCTAGGTGCTAGTGTTACAGACAAGAGGAAAAAAATAGCTGATGGCAACAATGATGTGCAAATACCACCCTGTGTACACGGGCAGTTCTAGCAACCTGGGAGAGCACTTCCCTCTCCAGTACATAAATATAATAACAGGGAGAAGGTCCACAGAGGCTTTACTAGTGAGGAGGTGCAAACTTGTGAAGAGAGAGGGGCTTTCTCATGAAGCATGAGGCAACAAGGACCTACATCAGATTCAATATGAGGAATCCTTGCTGAGCAAGAGGACTTGAGCAAAACCTAGTAAGAATGATGAGTGAGGCAGAGAGCAAATTACGAAGGCTCCACATGCCAGGTTAATGAATGTAAGTTTTATCCTCTATGCAAGGGAATTGTAACAGTCTAAGCAGTCACGTGCATAGGGGTTAAAAGCAGGGTCTTAGAAAAGGACCAACCAAGTCTGCCCTTGTCATTTAACTGTATGAGTTTAGAAAAATTACTAAAATTTTGTGTTTCCATTTTTCAGCTAAATACAGGGGATGAAAATTAATTTCTTTCTCATTGTATTTATTGTTGGAATTAATGGAGTATAATATCTAAAGTAACCAGAATAATACCTGACACTACTATACTATAAAGTGTAAGTACTGTAACGAACTCAAGGACTGTAAGTATTAATTTTCTTACCACTTTTAATATTGTTGAAATATTTAAGAGAGATGAAAAGTGAGAGCCTTGGAATCAGACTCACACCCTGGCTTTACTACTTAACAGTTACCTCGAGTTATTTGTGTAATTTCTGTACCTCTGTTTACTATCCAGAAAAATACATAAGAGTATATATTTCACATACCTAAATTAATTAAATATAAGTGTTTAAGTTTTTATAAAGTTTTGGAGCAAAAAATGCTTATAAATATGATTTTTAGCTATTGATAAAGAATTTATAGTCATGGCACAGTATATAGAGATTTACATATTTGAAGTGTGATTCTGAAGGCTGAGGAAGGAATGGAGGCAATAACATCACATGGCAAACAGATGAGTGTTTCAACCCAAACAGGTATTGCTGGGGAAGGAACGAAATATCACCACATAAAAGAGAGAATAACTGTACAACTCCTAGATTAAATTAGTCTCTGAATTGAGGGAATAGCAGAGATGTATTTTCACATGACTTCTGAGCTTCTTGGATGTGTAACTGGGTGGCTAAATTATGTCACTAGTCATGATAAGACCCTTGGGAAGAAAAGCAATTAAATTTTGAACAGGTCAACTTTTAGATTTCTATGCAATTATTTTTAATTTACCTATTTAGGGTAAATTTAATATTTACCCTAGTAAATTATGAACACATATTATTCTCTGCTACAATTGTTAAGGTACATGACTTTGCTATAGATTTTTAGGATTTTTAATATAGGAATTATAACTTCTCTTCAAAATATGTTGCAGAATCCTGTAGTGTGTCCAGCATATATTAGATGTGCTGGCTGTCTCCTATTTGCTTCCCCAGATACAATCTCCATTTTCTCCACCTTTCTCTGTTTCTCACAAAATGAAACATCCTTAGTTTCATTTTGTGAGAATTGAATAGCAATTGGCTCTCTTTTCAGTGGCTTCTGGTGAAATAATAAGCAGATTACAGGAATGAAATTTGCTCTCTCAGACTTTTCAGCTGGGTTGCTGTGTGAGCTGTTTGTCCAATCATTAAGCAAGCAAACAAACAAAACCAAACATTGAACAAACAAAAAACATACCCTGTAGCCCTCTTTGCTACTTCCTGCCTTTACTTCCTCAGGTGTATGGGTGATCACAATCTCTTTATCTTAGCTCCAGGGTCCTTCTTTGCTCCTCCAAACTGCTCTACATCTTATTTGCACATTTATAAATAAGCTTTTTAATTAATATTCCTTGAACTTGAGCATGTCTTTCATTTCTTGCTGAAATCCTGGCTGGTAACAGGAATTTGTGTTGAATGTAGTTCTCAGAAAAAGATTCCCAACATGTGTTTCTGAAATTGGGTTTCTCATGCACTGGGGGAAGGCACAGTTGACCCTACTAAAAGGAATGGAAAAAGAAATCTATAGCATGCCACAGCACCAGATTTATTCAAATTATGAATATTGGTGGTATAGGATCAAGTGCAGGTGGTGAAGAAGGCACAAGGAAGGAAAGGAAATAGTGTGGTTGGTATGATCAAAAAGTAACTATAAAGACTACAAAGTTCTCTACCTTCTTATGACTGTCCTAGAAGACTGACCTGATGAAAAGGAAAAATTAAAAGCAATGAATCCACAGTTGAGAACCAGGAGGTCTCCATCCTAACTCTGGAAAAGCTCATTTTTTCCCTAATTATAAGAGATGGAAATGAGAATTGAATCCAAGGTCTAATTTTAAGGGTTTCAGAATTGGAGCAATAATTAAATGCTACATTTATAAAGATTCTTAAGCTAATTTAAAGACACTCTAAGGCAGCCTAAAATGCTGAGACATGGGGCAAGGGGATTTGGGAACAGAGGGACAGGGCCATGCATAGGATTAACAATATGGATGTCCTTGCTTTTAGGATTATTTAGCTATCACCCCTGAATGTTCAGCTTATTATTTCAGGAGACTCGTGGCTAGCTGGTGGCATCCATCAAAGAGGAAACATTAATTAATACTCAAGGGATGGATACTGACTCTACCTTATAGGATTGAAGTTTCCCCATTGGATGTGAGATCCCAGCTGGTCGCACTTCATCATGCACAGATATTCATACACATAAAAATGTCTTTTCATTCCCTTTGTTTTTTTTGGTAAATCACATGCAACATTGTCTCTGACCAGGAAATTCATTTTATAGCAAAGGAAGTGCATCAATGTGCTCAGGGGCATGGGATTCACCAGGCTTACCATGTGCCCATGACCTAGATATAACTGATTTGATAGAACCTGAGGAAGGCTGAGGTGTAACACTAGCCCTAGAACATGTGGGATTTGTTTAAACTAGTGGATAACTGATTGTGACTTCATTCTATAGCAGAATGCAAGGTCCTGGAAACCAAAGAGTAGATATGGAAGGTGATCCTCTCATTATGTGACCTTATAACCTACTTAAAAAATGTTTACTTCCCTTCTTATAGTCTTCAATGCAGTGTGTTTGGAGGTCCCATAATCTCATAGAGGAAGGTTTTCACTATATGACACAATTATGAATGAGATGAATTAGAAGCTGAGACTTTCCCCTAACCACCTGGAGCTTCTCACACCATTTAACCAAGAATCAGAAAAGTACATCACTGCACGACTGGAGAGACTGATCCAGGGGTCACAGAGGTGACTTGACCAATACTCCTGGTCCATAGAGACCTGAAGTTACCCAATGAGAGTAGGGATTCAAGGGCTCAGATCCACAGTGGATAGAGCTCTGAAGGACCTCATCTAGCTAAGGTGCTGACTGAAGGCAAGTATTATACAGAGCAAGCAATGGAGGAAGGTACTACAACTTCCATGTTTATATTTTTGCAACCAGTTGAGTTAGTAATAACTACATTTTCCCAGCACCACAAAAAATAAAAACAACTATATTCTGTATTTTTTAATCATAAATTTTTGCCTGTTTTTCTTCCAAGTTACTTTACATGAGTGACACTGCTGATGACAGACTATGTTTCAGGCAGGAAGTGTGACCAAATTAATATTATCTATTAATAATAATTACAGGATATGGCACCTTATAGGATTGAAGTTTCCCCATGATAATTATACAAACTTATTCCACAGTTGAAGGGCAAGACTAGACTGAGGACAAAACTCTTGCTAAGAGGTAAAGGTTACTGAGATGCTCATCTTACTTTGTCTATCTACAGCTACTCTGCAGTTCTCCAAAGATAATTTAAAAAAAAACAATTTAAAAAGAAAGCCAAATATATATTGGACCTTTATTTTATTTATTTCTATGTGGTGCTGAGAATCAAACCCAGTACCTCACACATGCTAGGCAAGTGCTCTACCACTGAGCCACAACCCCAGCCCCAAGCATTGATCATAATATAGAAAACATTGTCCTTTGGAATATTGCTATAATGAACCCCAAAATTCCAATCTCACTCAAATAATAATCCTAATTAGGTACATGTTTCTTACTAGATGGATGAGTTCTAAAAAATATTTGAACAATGGGAGTTAGTGTTTAATAGAGAGTTTTAATTTGGGAAGGTGAAAGATTTCTAGGGAGGGATGGTGATGATTGTTGCATAACAACAACATGACTACACTTAACGCTACAGAGAAGTACACTTAACATTTTTAAAATCATACAGCATGTGTATACATATTTTATCAAAGAAATTTTCAAATGTTCAAACAGAAAGCAAA